TTGAAAAAACTCGGGGGCGAGCCGTGTTAGAATCTGAGGAGCGAGCTTTCAGGTGAAGGACACAGCAAAGTCAAAGGGTCAGGGGCCGGCGTGGCCCACTCGGGAACAGCTAACGGGGCCAGGAGTGGAGCGAGTGAGAGGTGAGAGGGCAGAGCCACGGAAATGAACTTAGCCTTTAGTCGGAGTGTAACAGGAAGCCAGTGACAGCCCCAAGCAGAGGAGTTACAGGTTCTGGTTTTCATCTGGAGATGGCCATTCAGGCTTCTGTGCAGAGGACGGCTTTGGAGGAAGAGAAAGGACCAGTGAGGAGGTGACGGCCATAGTCTCGGCAAGAGGTGGCAGGGGCTTGGCCTTGGGTGGTGCAGCAGAGGTGTGGAGAAGTGTCCTTCTACAGGCAAAGCCGAGATTAGAGAAGGGACCGAATGTGAGAAATGGGGAAAGAAGACTGGAGGGTGATTCTGGGGCTGCGGCTGGGCCAGGGGTGATATCACCCTCTGAGGGAGCAAGGGGTCTCGGTGCAGCGTGGGGACAAGAGCCTGGCTGGGGTCCAGGACAGAACGAAGCGTGGAGAACTGCCAGCGTTGAGTAGGACACCTCTCTGACGGGTGTGTGTGTGTGTGTGTGTGTGTGTGTGTACATGTGTGCAGGACATGAAAACAAGGCAGTAGCTGGCGGGGCCTGTGGGGAAAACAAGGGTTTGCTTCTGTGTGGAGTTGCGGGGTATTATGGTATGTCCGTGTGGTGAGGGTGCGGGAGGCAGGGACAGCACTCGAGAGAGGCCTTGTCCCACGGGGTAAAGGAGGCCAACCGTCTTCCTATGAAGTTGGGGGCCCAAAAGGATCCAAGAGAATCACCCACAGGGTTTGGGGTGACTTTGGAAACAGAAGCCTGGTGGGCTCCTCCTCTGCACAGTTTCCTAAAAGCCGTCATCCCCGTCACCCTCCCCCGGCAGTGGCCCAAAGCCCCCGAGAGAGGACTCTGAAGCGTCCCGATGACCCCAAACAGAGGCGAGGAGAGTCAGGAAGGAGGAGGCGGGCCACCCCAGATGCGGCCTGAGCAGAAGCCCCTCTACGCCCCGAGCCAGCCCCACACTGAGGGTCCCTGCTATAAGCACTCCTGAGCCACAGGCCCCGCCCAGCCACCGCGTCCCTTTCGTCCCTGTCTCCAGAGTGGGAACATGTCCCGTCTTCCCTTATTCTGGGACAGATTGTTCTCAAATGGCCTTGCTCCTGTCCGACACCTGTCCTGACTCCCCCACCCCACAGCTCAGCTCTCCTTGCTGTAGGTAGCAAGGTCATTGGCCACAGGTAACCTGGCCTGCCCACTGCCTGTCCTGTGTGGGCCGGTCCGATCCCCAGCACCTCGCCTGCTCCTGTTTGCTTCTTCCCCGCACCCAGGGCCCCGTCAACCCAACACGCACGTCCCCTTCCCGCCTAGGAAGCACACACTGGCAGAAGCAGCAATTACCACTGACATTTCTGCAAATGGGAAATTCTCATAATTAAAACTTATTTTGCAAGATCTCAGGAGACTAAATAACCCTGAAGGGAGAAAAAGGACTAACATCTTATCAGGAAGTGGTGTCTGTAGAAATAAACTCAGTAATATAGGCCTTAAATTTTATTCCAGGGCCTGATTATCAGATACAAATATTTCAGCTGATTAAAACAACATAATAAGCTGGCTATATTCACTAAGAGCTCTTAGTATATTCAGAAAGTCTCCAGAAACAGCAACAATTACAATCAGCCCTATAATCAAAAATTAGTTCGAACATAATCATTTTCCCAAGCTGAGCAAATACAGATCTTAATATAGACAGCAACACATTCCAGGAAAAAACAATCACTCGGATAAACACAAAGCTCAACCCCAGTGCGGAACACTAGAGAACATACACTGATGGATGGCAGTCACCATGGTGATACTTACTAACATTAGACCTTGGAAGGCCCGGCGAGTGCTCAACGTCATTATCATATCAGCAGGTTTGGAGATGACACCTTTCTAAACCCAGACAACGAGCCCACCGTCCAACCCAACACAAACCCGGTCCTTCTGAAAAACCAAAAAGCGCTGACATTAGAGAGCACATAGCCTTCTGTCTGATATGACAGTGTGTTGAACTTGACTCGCCCAGAAAGAGGACATATGGTGAATAAATGCAACAGGTCGATTGGTTTTGATAAATGCAAGCTGATGAAATTACCCACGGGGAGAAAAGATACTTACCTATTCCACATAAATGACTCACATGTTTAGACTGAAAAATCACAGCTACTCTGCAATGTCCCTCATCTGTCTCTGACTCAGAACACACACAGCACATGCACACACTTCACTGCCCCGAAGGGCACCAGAAACACATGTTCACTGGCACCGAAGTCCGCAGAGACTTGCCCGGTGCCTTCTCTGAGGCAGTCAGCTTGTCCACAGTGACCACACACCTTGCCATTTTCTACTTCCCGAAGCAAATTTCTCCATGCAATCTAAACTGGGACTTTTTCTATTTTAAAAAAAATTGCTGACAAATAAGTCCCTTCACAGGAGTGAGAGTCCCTATCGCCCCAGAGATGGACCAGCTCGAAAGACTGGTGCCAGGACCTTGCTGAGGAAATGCAAGCTCAGATGACTGACCCCCAGGGAAAATGGTCCTATAGGGGAAATGACCTCATTCCACCTCCTGGAGACCCTGTACAACTGTGAGAACACGTTATGAGACACGCGCCAAAATGCTCAGCCCCGGGCCTCTGGGCAGAACCTCTGTTGCTGCTCAGACCCTGGGGGAACAGCAGAGGACCAGCGAGGAACACTGAAGTGGCCATCATGAGCAGTGGAGCACACGTCACACATGGTGATTACTCGGGCTCTGACTCAGGAGACAGAAAGAAAAAGCAAGCAGAGCCCTGGCTGGTGTGGCTCAGTGGATTGAGCGCGGGCCTGCAAACCAAAGGCTCACCAGTTCGATTCCCAGCCAGGGCACATGTCTGGGCTGTGGGTCAGGTCCCCAGTGGGGGGCGCCTGAGAGGCAACCACACACTGATGTTTCTCTCCCTCTCAAAAAAAAAGAGCAAGTGGAGAAAGGATGAGGACACTCATCTCTGGCAAAAATGAAAGTTCTCGAAGAAGAGTCATTGGATGTAATTCAGACCACTCGGGCAAGCAGCGACCTGCAATTCCAAGAATCTGGGCCAGAGCAAGGTTGCCTGACTTAGTGGTCAACGCAGGCCTCACTTCCCCAGACCACCAGCTTGACTCACTCACTGCTTCCCTCTCTGGTGGGGGCAGTTTACGGACAGACGAATGCATGGGGTGATGTTTCCAGGCTGGGTCTACAGCCACAGACATGAGAGGAGTCAGGCTAAGTCCCTGATTGAAAAAACAAAGTGGCTCATCAAGACCCCTGTCTGCACTCACCATTTGCTTTGTCTACAAGCAATCCACCTTTGCGTCAGCCTTACTCTGACAGTGATGGTGGCTGGCACTGGCGGAGTCCCTGCTGCTTCCCTGGCAGCACGACATGTTCCCATTCATCCATCCATTCGCCCAACTCACAGCCAAGGAACGTCCACCGTGCAACAGGGCTGTTCTAGGTTGCAGGATGCGATCTGAATAAACAAAATTCCTACTGGCATAGAACTTCCTTGCCAGGGAGAGGAGAAACACAAGAGAAGACTGAGTACAGACTGTACCAGATGGCGATCGGGGTTCTGAGAAGGAAGGGGGACAAAGGAGCCAGAGGGTGACCGAGTGTGCATGCTGCCCTCGCCAGACCCCCGGGAACACACTTGGGGTTCAGGAACAAGTTGCAGTTACTGACTCATGGCAACAAGGGAGAGCACACCACCCCGGGATCCAGGCAATGGAAGAAGACGGTGTTCAATGAACTCACTGTAAGATTTGGGCCCAGCTGGTGTGGCTCAGTGGATCGAGTGCCAGCCTGTGAACCAAAGGGTCGCTGGTTCGATTCCCAGTCAGGGCACATGCCTGGGTTGTGGGCCGTGTCCCCAGTTGGGGGCGTGTGAGTGGCAACCACACACTGATGTTTCTCTCCCTCTCTTTCTCCTTCCCTTCCCTCTCTCTATAAATAAATAAATAAATAAATAAAATCTTATAAAAAAGAGTTGGGCTGTGTTAGGTGATTTGGGGAGAGTTCAAAAAAGCAGAATTTTGCTCTGAATCAAATACTGTCAGGAAGAGAGAGCAACCCAATGAGTGGGCATCTTAGTGACCCTCACCTAGAAGGCAGAGGAATGAGCACGCAGTCACACACAGCAGCCAGCAGGGGGAGACGTGGCCATAGCTGTGGTTTGGGCCGCCTTTTGCTATCTGCCTGTGGGCACAGTGACGAAGGGCTCTTGCATTTGTCTTGAGCCATCATGGTCACAGAGTGGCCTTATCTGACACCGGCGTTCTGTGACATTGTTTATGCTCAAAAGGAGAACAGCTTGCCTGTCAGGGGCTGCTTCTCTCCTTCCTGTGCTCAGTCCTCACCCCGCCTTGCAAGGTAAGCACTATTACCATTTCTCTCTTAAAAATGAGGCGCTAAGGCCCAGAGAGGTCAAGGGCTTCCCCTAGAGCAGACAACTAAGAAAGCCGGGATTCAAAGTAGGTCACCTGACTCCAGAGCCAGCTTCTCGTGGCAAGAAGTTATCTTCCAAAGGCTCGGGGGTGGTTTCAGTGGGCACTGAAAGGGGAAATTGCTACCAGTAGACACCCCAATACCTAGGCCAGAGTGTGTGCAAATACCCAGGAAATCAGTCCCCTGATAAGTCTCGAGGTGACAGTATTCTTCTCCCAGGGATGAGGAAACACATTCCATTTTATTTCAATTGAAAAGTGTCTGTCTCAATACCGTCATCGAAACCGATTAATGTCAGTAACTTACACGAACCACAACCAAGTTTTAAACACTGGAAACAAGTGGGTTCTAATGGTGTAAAGGTAATGGGCCAGCGTGCACAGGCAAGAGAGCACGGGGCGGCCGAATCGGGGCTTACCAGCAGGTTTTCCGGCTTGAGGTCCCGGTGGACGATGTTCTGGTCGTGCATGTGGACGAGAGCCCTGCACAAGTCCCTGAGCAGGAGGGCGGCGGCGCGCTCCGGGAACTTCACGCTCTCCAGGATGGCGTCGAACAGGTCGCCACCCTGCACAAACTCCATGATCAGGTAGATGTCCGTGTCCGTCTCGTACACCTCGTGCAGCTTCACGATGTTGGGGTGAGACAGGCTCTGGATGATTAAGATCTCACTGTCAATCATGTCCTCCTTACCCTTGAGTTTGGACTTGCTGATGATCTTCATGGCGTAGGCCTGCCCGGTCTCCCGGTGTCGGCACTCCTTCACGATGGCGAAGTTGCCGTCCCCGATGACCTGGCCGGTCTCGTACTGCTTCTCCACGTTGGCCGAGATGATGCCCGCGGGCCGCCGCTTCCGGCCGCCGGGCCTGTCTGGCTTGCTGTCTTCTGTCTTCATCTTGGGCTCCTTTTCTACCCTTGTGAGTTGGTCATCTCTGGGAAGCATCCTTCTCCCACCCGACGCACATGCCTTTTTCTCCTTCTCTGCCTCCTGCTCTTCCCCTCGGGTCCTGGGGGGCTTCTCCGAGCCGGCCTGGTGCTCCCTGAGGAGCCAGCCACCACGCTTGTGCTTGGTGTCTTTCTTTCCATCCTCTCTGACGGGTTGAGCTTCCACAACATCCTTCTTAGCCTTGGCCGCTCCTTGTGGCTGACCTTCCTGACCTTCAGGGTCCCTGTCCTCTTTCTTGTCCGTGTTCTTGCCAGGTCTCCTCGGCTCCTGCGTGGGGTTCCTGGGAGTGCTCTTCTGGCTGTTGCCCTTCCACCCCTCCTCCCTGCCCAGGGGGTTGGCCTCAGGGGACCTCCTGCAGCTTCGGGTCCTCACCAGCTTCTCCACGTCATACCGTTGGCCCTTGCCCATGTCCAGCTCGCTAGTCCCCAGGGACAGCCTCTCCCCCTGCTGCAGGCCATGCCGGAGCTCTCTCTCCCTCTTGCACTTCTCACACCGGATGATTTCACCCGAGGTCTTCTCGACCTCCACCGCCAGGTGCTGCTCTCCGCTGGGGGGCCTCTCTGCAGTGGCTTCCTTGGCTGGTTTGTTGCTGAGTTCAGGCTCCCGTCTGCCCCGCACCCAGGTCTTCTGGGCCCGGGCCCTGTCCTCCAGCACTGGCTCCACGGGGGTCTTCGCCTGATGTCTGAGGGCTGCCTTGGACCCAACAGCCTCACTGCCGCTCTTGGCCGCGTCCGTCTCCCCACAGTGGAGACCCCCTTTCAGAGCCTTGCAATAAAGCCTGCTTCTCAGCCTTGGAGAGGGGGCCCAGCTGTGCTGGGTCAACGTCAGGGCCCGGGCTTTACTGGGGTAGAGTTCTTCCATGGCCACCTGAATGCTCTTCAGCGTCAGCGGCTCCTTGCCCGTGGCTATGAAAGCATCGCCTTCCCTGAAGAAATCAGAGACACTGCGGATTTCCCTGCCCTTGAGGTTAAACAGTTTCCTCACGCGATCGCTCTTCCATCTCGGGAAGCCCAGGGCCTCCGAGACGTCCGCCAGGAGCTGCTCGAAGGTCTGCACCGAGCGCCTGTTGAGCAGCAGGGTGATCTTCCGCAGGGGGTGCCCGCCCAGCTTCACCACGGTCACCACCCGGGGCTTCAGCGGGCCGTTCTCAGCGTGGATGCAGTGAAGGCCGTGCTGATGGTTGAGCACCGGCAGCACCGTGGAGCCGTGGGGGCCCGGGACCGGTTTCTCCAGACTCCCTCGGCTGGCGGGCAGCCAGGCACCCTGCAGCTTCCGCTCCATGATTCTCGAGCTTAAATATTTTAGGGAATGGTCACACAGGCCTCGATGTCCTGCAGGGGGAACACAACGACACAGTGTTAGTCAAGGTGGGTTGAAGGAGGACTTGGCCCTTCAGCAAAGCCTGACTGAAGGCTGCTGATTCCATCCTAGTTTAGAAGGGTGATCTTTGAGGACCGGCCTGCAACGATGGAGCCCCTTTACACCGCAGGGCTCGTTCCCAGTCTCCTCTGCGAGAGCCAGGAGTGCAGAACGGAGTCAGCACTGGGCCTCGGGTGGCTCCTCCAGGCTTCCCAGGGACCCCCAAGTTGGGCGACACCTCAGGAGCCCATTCTAAGCTAGGCCTGACCCTGAGGACATACACAGTCCTGCTCCTTAAAGCAAGGCGACCATCAAGGACCTACGACTTAGATAAAAGATCTGAGGTTTGCTCCCTGGGAACTAGCAACAAGAGGTCATGATATTCTGGAACTTGCAGGAACCCTATTCTTACCCACTTCCAGTTTTCTCAGCTTGACGTTCAACCCCCTCAAGGGGAGGCGGTCTGGGAAGAGGTAATGAGTGCGGATCTGGGTTTGATCCCCTGGCACGGCCACTGACCACGTGCGTGTGACCCTGGGCACACACGGCAGCCTTTCCATCCGAGAAGCAGACATGCTGGCGGCCTCCTCCCAGGGTTTTTGTGAGAGCAAATGAGAAAACGACCGCTATTTACTTAGAGCGCTTGGCAGTGATCACTAATGACCAATACTGTCCACACGACCATAACATCTCTTTTGTAAGCTGGTTTCACGTTGGTAGCAGTGCCGTCTGTTGCTAAGGAAGAATCCTACAGCGTGCAGCTTCCCCTGGCCTTGCAGGAACTCGTGGGCCCGCGTGGCCTGGTGGGAATTTCTTAAAGCTCTGAGTGAGGCTGTCTTGCCCTGGGTTGTGTGGTCTTGTTTTAGGGTGAATATTTCAGTCTACGTACAGAAACTTTCTTCTCCAAAACGATGTTTCTCTCATTTACTAAAAAAAAAGGGAAACCACAGTCATCTTGATCCAGAGGTTTAGTCCTGAGACTGTGGTCTGGATCAATGAATAAATGACTAAAACAAGCCTTTGTGTTTCCTGATCAACTGTCCCTGGCCAGCACAAAGCAGATGAGGCAAAAGCAGTTCAATTTCCGTTTCTGTCCAGGAAGGAAAGGAAAGAGGGAAGTGTCGGAATCTGTAGACTCGTTCAGCCGTGAGGGTGGGCTGCGAGTTCTTAAAGTTCCCCACAGGGTCCACACACCATATCCTTACATGTAGGGTACTCGTAGGAATCTGCCGTCTACACTCCCTTTAAAGTCACAGACAAGTTTTTAAGTACACTTGGCTTGTGACAAAAACCCCACTTGTACCAGGATGGGCAATTTGGCCAAGCATATTTACCCAGAATGTTTTTTTGTTTTTTAATTTTAACATACAATCTGTTCTGCGGTGACTTCCATCAGACACAGGTGTCAGAGTAAATGACAAGCGGTGGCTGGGACCGATCTTCCCACACGCCATAAATGTATGAGCTTGGCAATCACGTTCCCAGTGAAACTATTTATGGACATCTTATTCCTTTTCTTTCCATGCTTTCTCTGATCTGCCTCCACTTCTGTCGGAGAGAATTCTGACACTGAGAGAGAAAGATCTACAAGAGTAATGCCAGTTTGTGTTTCCCCACTGGAAAAGTTGAGGGAGATAAACCTTCAAATGCATGTTGTTCTTATTTCTTATTCTTATGTTGCTTCTCGGAATAAAACCCGCAATATGTACTTGTCCGGCTAAAGAAATGAAAAAAAAATTCTCTGTTCCAGGAGAGGGGGAGGAGAGAACTTTTCAGGAGAAGCAGGAGGACAAGGGAGCCCTCAGTGACCACAGTGGGGATGTGAGAGAGTTTGGCACGGCCAGGAGATCGGAGGGTCCCAGAGAAAGGTCAAGTTCGGGACGTCAGGACCCAGAACGATACTCAGGGAACAGGACAAACACTGCGTGGGCTCACATGTCGAGGGGTGACCAAGGACGACAAAGACACAAATCATGATGAGACGGGGAGCTCAAGGTCTGAAACAGTGAAACCATGGAGTTTGGGTGTGGAGACAGGTGATTGACCTTGTGGTACCCAGAGTCAAGGCCGAAATGTTCTCTGGAGACGTTGTGCCCCTCGTTTCAGCAGACCCAACCTCAGATCCAGACCTGATTGCTGCTCACTCAGGGGAACAATCTGGGAACACCCCATCACTGAGCCCAGGAGAAGTTCCGCCAGCATGGCCCCCATCCCAGGGCACAGACAACAGAGGATGGGAATGGAGAGAGAGCAGCTCGACCTCCGCCGCACCGCCATCGGACACGCTCCGTGCGCTGCCCAGGCATTTACAAGCTCATTCAAAACCGCTGTGGTCAGGGGCAAGGGTAAGAACTCAGGCCTCCCGCTCCTCAACATAAAACTGGGCTCTGTCTGCTTCCAGCTACACAGGGGCACTAGGAAAACACCGCCTCAAGATGCAAATATTTTTATCCTCTCTTCCACAAGTCCTCCTGACCCCCCCTTCAAAATTCTCAGTCCTGAGCACATTTTTCTTCTGTAGAGGTAAGAGGATAAAATCGGGAGACCGGATGACTGGTCCTTGGTCAAGGAGAGCAAACGCCAGAGAGAAAAAGAACATGATACACTCCTCGGGCCCTGGGCTAGTCTTCAGGAACAGTCTCATCTCCCCCGGACAGCAGCACACGGAGCACTTCGGACTACCTACCTATCGACAGCAACATCCGGGTACCTCCCCCAACCAGCCCAGACTGACAGCCCACGTTCATGCATCTCCAACAACTTACAAAATTGATTAGGCGTAATCATGTGAGATTAGGTGTAATCATGTGAGATTGCAGGAAATTCTACCCATTGTGGCCTACAAAAAAAATGGAAATCTCCTATGATCTAGATGGGTAGATCCCTATTCTGCCCCTGCATCTACAGTAAATAATTAAAGAAAGTATGGAAAATAAAAATCAGACATGCTAATTCCCAGCCGTCAGTCCCCAAGCCAGCAGCTCCCCAGGAAGCAACACAGAGCAAGGATATTCCCGTAGCTCCTTGTTTGTCTGCCAACTTCCTACAGCAACATAAACTGGCCTCAGTTTGGCACTACTGCTGGCTTTGCCACATTCACCAGGAATACAAATGTTCCTAAGGTCCTCCCCAGCGCCCGCCTAACCCCCCACACACAGCCAAACAGGCTGTGCTTTCGCCGAGCCCCTGCTCTGCTTGAGAGCCCACAGTGGCTCCTCCTTACAGTCCTGGAAGGTCAAACCCAACCTCCCCCACCTGATAGGGAAGGCCTTCCATACTCCAGTGGTCCCCATCCATCCCGACCCCACTCCACCCTCACTCTTGCCCATCCGAGCCTCACCACCTTGTAATCCCTAAGACCCACATCCACCACCAAACCTTCTCTGACCTCACAAGTTCACAGTCAAAGCTCCCTCCTCTGAAGATCTGTTCATTTGATTAAACTAACATTTATCACGAACGCTTGACACCCACCGGCACTGGCTGAGGAACACCTGGTCTTCCCCTGGGCACTTCTCAGCTAAAGGTTATGTCGCCTTCACAGGTGTAAATATTCTTCCTCGCAACTAAATAGAAGCTCCCCCCAGTCAGACACCAGGGACTACGCGGAACCCCCTGCTCCATCCTGTAACACGTAACACTGGAGATCCGGGGGACAGGTTCTCAGCCCTAACACCAAACGCCTGTGTCCAGTCTCAGGCTTCTTGCTCTCATCAAAAAACCGCGTGTAACTACTTTCAGTGCCGGAGGACATCCCACAACAGACCTCCTCAACAGATTAGATAAGCGAGGTGAAAAAAAACCCGTGATTTCTCCCCAGTCCGTGAATATCTCAGGGGCAAAGAGAATACGACGCTAAATGTGAGTCAGCAGGGCGAATTTGCCATCCCATGTAACAGTTGAAACAGAAAACCAGTAGAGACAAGACGGTAATTGAAACACTCCAGGAAAAAAAATCTAAGCATACTGCTCCTCCTGCTCACTGATCCTGGGCTTCTCTCTGACTGGTGTGACCCAGTAAACTCAGTAACTGCACAGGCATGTCGCTGTGATGACCTCTCGTGCAGGGGTTTCAAACTCATTTTCACAGGGGGCCCCATGAGCCTCGCGGTTGCCTTCCAAGGGCCAAATGTAATTTTAAGACTGTATGAATGTAACTACGCCTTAAGTAGGGGCAATGAGCTCTACCAGTCCTTGGAAGGCAACCACAAGGCTCATGGGGCCCCTCCACGCCCGTGGAAATGAGTTTGACACCCCCGCTGCAATGCATTCAGGTCCCATGTGCTGCCACCATTCAGATGAGTTACAATAACCTGACTCCACAATGGTCAGCTCAACACCTTATTACCCTGAAAAGGTTACCAAAATGACTGGAAGTCATCTTAACCCAGTTTCCTTTCTAATCATTTATTATTACTTTGTTGATGCTGCTAATCATCAAGTTTGGGATCAAGGGGAAAAAAACAATGAAAAACATATTGCTAAAATTAATCTTTTGTCTTTTTCAATCAAACAAAGAGAGTGTCCCTTTTCCTAAAGTGTCTAAACCAGGGGCTCCCACTTCCAAGGCACTGTGTTCCGTAGGGCAGGGCTTTACAAACGGTCACGTGAGCCCAGGGCCAGGGTGGGGCCTGGGATTCCACACCTCAGACAAGGTCCCGGGTGTGGCCAATGCTGCTGGCCCAGGGCCCACACTTTGGGAAGCACAGACACAGAGAGAAGTCCCCAAGCATCCTCTGTGCGTGCTGGTCAACTCTAATTAACGTCAAAGTGGCTCATAAACCATGCCTTGAAGAGGTGTCGTAACCAACATTTTCATAATGTGAGTAAGTGGCAGATGGTATTTAATCAAAACATGACATCATCGGTGCAGAGAAGCAAAAGGTCTGCTCATGGGTCCCCATCAAAGGGTTTTCTTTTAAGAACAGCAAACAGAAATGGGGAGGGAGGGATGACACAAAAGGGGACTGGC